TTGAAAGATCGCTGGAACACGTTTTACTCCGAAAGGTAACCGATTGTAACCGTAAAGCCTCGATAAGTATTAATGGTAAGCGGTTTTTTGAGCGCTCCTCCATCACTACTTGCCATTACGTATCAGTAAGGTCAATTTTAGAATAGATCATTCCTCCATTAGGCTTTGTGAATAAATCCAAGGGGTCAGGTAAGACATCTTGATGTGTTTCCAATGCATGATTTACTCCCGTAGAAAAATCAGCACAAATACGCAAACTGCGATTAGCCTTTCAGATAAACACAATAGGAACGGGCCCCCCTGAGTAAGTCACAGATCTGATGACGCCGACGGAATCCAGTCCACTAACTTCGACATCCACTGCTTCAATAACAGCGTACGGTACTGGTCTTCTGGACAAAATACTGCACATACTACGATACGCGGATACAACAACCTTTCACTTTAGGACACGTTTCATGACTCTCAGCAAAAAGATTGGGGTAGGTAGAGGCAAAGTTTGATAAGGTTTCCACACTGCCTTTAAACAGTAAGAGTGCAGCTCAACACTGAAAATCGGAGGGACACAGTGAAAAACTATCTGTGTCCGCACAAATACTGTTCGAAGGTATGTTCCATCAATCATGTTTTTCTAGCTAACTAAGGTCTAACAAGTTCACTGTCCATACTGTGTAACTTAACGAACACTATCAGCATGTAAATTGCGAAGTGAAATCTCACAATTGAACAGTCGAAGGAAGGGTAATTCTGAACCGAACGCGTCGTGAGCGACGTGTGACGTTTGAACACATGCGGGCCAACCTAGCTTGCTCCACGTCAACTCAGCGATTTTGTAATATCATAAACCGTATCCAGTCAAAGTTGGACAGAAACACCGTTTATTATAATTGTAACATACTTCTGCGGTAAATGATAGTTCGGGCTAGTGGTTGCTAGCATCGCATTGGAAAGCTAATCTCGAGAATTTGGTGTTTTGACGAAGTTTCATGACGGACTACCACAGGCTCCCTGCAAACATCTGGTTACTTTATGTCCCATGTTCCCAGGACGCTTGCAAATATGTCGTCCGAACTCACAAAAACGAGCGAAATGTCACTGAACACAATCCCAACAAGCACTAAGCGGACGGCCTCACGTGCGAAGTCGGAGATGCGCACTGAATTGTGCCATGGCCTGGGGTGTGTAGGCAGAGTATGAACATCCACCGCACAAGATTCAGTAGACCGTTGAATAATTTTTGTGTCATACTTTAGTGTCAACATATATTCACATTGCAGTATCAGCTCTTGTAGTGAGATTGCTTGATTGGACGCGAAACTAAATAACAAACGTGTTCGAATCTCCGCATCTTTTTAAAAACTCAACCCACAAATTAAAATAAGCGTTTTAAACTGAGCACTTATAAGTGTGCTAAGCAGAAAACTTTCACATTCTCTGTTAACCAGCGCCACATAACTCACAAAATCATCCTGCTGACGTTTTATAACTAGAAAACATCGGAAACATGCGTTCAGATGTCACGTTTAAGGGCCGAAACTCCTGTTTAAGTGTTTCGCAGTGTCCTCCAATGATATAGCGCGTGGGAACTTTGGTAGAATGTATTTAGAGCGCTTTGCACACTCATATGGACCCAATTTCCTCAAAAGAAACCGTAACTGCCGCATCGCCCAGCTCAAGCCCATCAGTTTTTAGCAACTCTTCATAGCGGCGAAACCATGCTTCGGAAGTGAGGTCATCGTCCGGCTGGTAATGAAATTCTGTCATACTGTGCGTCAGCTTGTCTACAGCGGTAAGCGTTGAGTCTGTAGTAGCTGAATGCAACGACATTCGTGTGTGTCAATGTTTCAATTAAGCGTTGCTGTGACGCCTCAAAATGTTTGTTGTCTGGACAGCATTTTTTGAAGAAATCACCAAGGGACTGTCATGGTTTACAAACTGGAAAGCCGTCGCCAATCGATTATAACGACTGACTGTTCGGAACCTACTCCACAGAGCGCGACTAGCTGTGTTAAAACTGACAAAGTTGAGCAACCGGAATGCAAAAGTAATCGGTCAATAAGTCAACCCCATGAAAAGACATAGTCATGAATAGTGAGCGGTTTAACTCTGAACGACTTTCATGCGTGTGTCCAGCACAATCACTTGACTGGACAGTCACGAATGTCAAATTATCTAACTGTGGGAGACAGTCATGCGCCTACCCGTTTAACCTTATCTTAATTAGTAGCTAAAGTGGATTTCAGAAGCCGTCGGTTTTGAGATCTAGTTCGTGCTTTGCAAGTTTATCACAAATGTTGTACCACTCATGAGTAGTGTCGCCCATACATGAACCTGTCCATGCCGATCAGCTGTCCAAGCCAACCACATTTTGTAGATCCCTTGAGTACTCGCATCGGACAGTTTTGACTGTTCAACCAACCACACTTAATCAACTCAACCATGTCATGTTTCAACTCTGTGACGTGCGAACTTTTATAAAACGTACAAAACTATCGTACTTGGCGGACCATATATTCTACCTCCTGCACTTGTTACACTCGGAAGTGTGGACCTATCCTTGCTTCTAATAAACATTTTCACCATATCCACGAACTCCATCACTATGCCAACGAAGTGGAAAGAAGCCATCGTCATAATGCGAAACAAATCAGGCACCCTGTAGAAAGGAATACTTATCGTCCAAATATGGCAGATCTATCTTATCCATATTAGTGGAGCAACATCTAATACCTGCAACGAACGACTTCCTAATGTCACGAAAGTTAAACAACTACCTACAGCACAGTTTCCGGTGTGCTACCTTGGCATAACGTGGCAATTTGAATTTCTGCACCTTGTAACTGCCTCACAGGCTAACGGCATATTCTGCAACCGTTATTTATCTCGACATACACACAAGTGTTATATGGAAAACTAAAATCCCAACTAATGCCGAAGGGAATCTGGGAACCCCCACTTTCGTGTGGAAAATCCCGCCTTGCAAATCAAACGCACGCGGTACAGATAGAGAAACAGAGATCTAAAGCAATAGCAGTCACAAGGGGTGCAGTACAGAGCAGTGTGCTTGGCCTATCAGTGAAAATATCGGCCTTAGAAGAGTTTAAAAAGTTGGGCTTAAGTAATTTCCGTGGTGCCCTGTAAGTATGTTGGCACTATGTGCACGACACATTTGCGCACACACAAAGAGATAAAAACGATGAATTCTTGAACTATTTGAACTCTATTGATACCGCGATAAGTTTTACCCTGGAAATTGAGTCGCAGAGCGGTACACTTTCGTTCCTTGATTAGCTGGTCCATAAGAACGAAGGAACATTAGAAACGGCAATGTATCGCAAACCAATGGACACAGATGGGGTTCTTAGCTACAGTTCAAGCCACCCAAAGCATGTGTACTCAGGAATCGCCTATTCTCTGTTTTACAGAGCAGATGCTCTGTGCACTGAGAAAGAAGATGAGAAAGCAACGCATAGGAAGGCGATGAAAAACTTAGTAGCTAGCGGATTTCCGAAACGATTTGTGAAACGACAGCTACAGAACTGACTCAACCGACGCGCAACACCAACCACAGAGTGGATAACGACGACGAGTATTCCGTATAAAGAAGGAGCTTCGAAAGCGCTTTGGGGAGTACAGAATAAGGAGATAAGCGTAGTTATCCAGAAGGGTCAAACGCTCCGGTCCACGCATGTGCATCTGAAGGATTCATTTCTTTTATATTAAACAACTAAGTGCCTTTACAAAATTCCATGTAAAGATTGTACGGTGTACATAGGTCAAGCAGAGAGCGACTTAAATACAAGGCTTTCAGAACATAGGCGACACATATCACGACCTCCGCGAAATGAGCTAGATTATGGAGCTCTACTCAAAGACTCGGCAATGGCAACGCATGCGCTGTCGGCCGGTGGCTGATTGGTCTGCACGTTTGGTTTGCAACGATAAGGTCACCGGTTCGAATCCGCGTAGGGGTGCGCCTCCACGTGGTATACTCAGCCAGCGCGCGACTGGTGGCAGTCGCCGGCAGCGACGCGCCGTTACTGCGTACAGCTAACACGTTATTATTATTAATACATGTGCTAGCCACGGAGCATGAAATTGGCTTCGAACGTTTCGGGGTTCTCAGGAAGGGATTACGATCAACCAAACAAAGGTTGATTGCTGGAGCTGTAGAAATAACCGAGGCTAACAAGTGCATGGATAGAATAGACTGAGTAAGGCTAGTCTTGTGTCTGGCGTCCAGTCATTTTCCGGCCAGGATGGTAAGCATCGGCGGATGGATCCCAAATCGGAATGGGCTATCAATGCTCCCTCCAACAAATTTCTAATATTAAAGACAAGTTATATCTGTAACCAAGTTCGTTGCATCGGAGCACTTATGATTGCTGGACACACAAGTAGCTAACCTCTGACCAGCAAATTTTTGTACTCCCTCTGACGTTGACTGAAGCAAACCACAGTGTACATACGAGGCTGGTGACCTTTGCCATTGATGAAGTGCAATTGGATTAGTTTCTGTATGTAGCTTAGCCATGCTCCTTATGAAATGTCAATTTTAGGCTAATGCACTTTGCCTGACGATGGTATTTTATCAAAAGACAAACGTTGTGTTTCATCATAAATATATTTTCCGGTTACCCACCAAGCCTTCAGGAATGATGAGTTCATTTTCGTTTCCAAATATTTTCCCAGATTTCATCGCGGTTTTCTTAAAACGTTTGAGACTCTGAGTTTGATCTATGCGGTACAACTGGCTCTTAAATTACTTGGAATGCACCGCAAGTTTAACTCCATGGGTCACGGATTTACGTAAAGCGTCTCATTACATTTAACCTCAATCTCGTTGCTATGGACGACGCTTACATGTTTTAGTTTGTCGCCCTTGAATAAGTCAATCACAGCCTCACATTTCTTGCTTTTACTTAACTATGGTTAGCCTTAATTTAGTAACAAGGTAATCTACTCTAATTGTGATTCTCAGAGATTGAAGAGCAACTTACCTAAGGGTATCACCGCCGGCTGCGATATTTTGCCCACTAACTGGGAATTCCGGAATCTTGAAGTTCGGATCACCCCCGTGATGGAACACACAAGTTTTTGACAAAGTTTCTGCCTGTGCGGCTAGTTGGTCGTGCCATTTCTTTGTTTATAAATATGATGCATCAAGCTTCTCGTGAAAGTGGACTTACTAGGTCGGGCATAGGACCAGCCACCGGAGGTTGGCCAGTAACGTTGCAGCGCAACAGTTGATGCCGAAAATCATTATGTAACTTCAGTATTAGCGCTTTATCCTCTTCTGTTATACTAGCGATGACTATGGGTAAAAGCAGAGCAAGTAGTATCCCGTTGCAGTTATAAGGGCATGTCGCCGCCATTAATACTATGTAGATCGGAGTTATGAGCAAAAGTAGTTGCAATGTTTCCGATTTTATTAAACTGACCTTGTTATATATACAAAATATATATATATATATGGGTGTTTAACCTAAAGGGGGTAAAACACAAATATTAAGGACAAGGTAACCACTGGTAACGAAGTGAGGTCATCAAATAACCACCTCGCATTTGGTTACCATAACTGCAAACTCCAATTAATTTAATTACAATAGCTTCCAGTGCCGTTTGTTGAAGTACAATGGCACAGTGGTTTTTGTTCAAAACTTTGCAGCACGCTTGACTCAAGCCGAAACAAACAACCAGAGTTGTCGTCGCTCCTGCAACAAACCCAGGCAATATATTCAAATTAATACTCTAAACTTACGGCGCTTAAGTTATACGAATACACATTGTGGACCGCAAAATCTACTCGCGTTGCAGAAATTTCAAATGCAATAACTTCTTTAAGTCAGAAATGTTCAGCAATATGCGCAAAGCGAAGTTCGAGCGCAAATAATCTGAGTAAACCTATAATGGTATCCCACTTGATGGCTCGTTGTACTTTTGACAATCTCATTGGTTGTAAGTAGTAGGGGGATTTACTAAGTTTTCCCGTAGGTTCGTCGCGGTTAGACACAGGCAGACAGCCAGCACACATCCAGGAAAGCGCTAGACGGTGCATCCGGCGGGTGCGCGCTACTGACGAGCCCCAATAGGATGAAACGCCAGTCTGGCGCCTTCCTGGATGTGCGGTGGCTGTCTGCCTGTGTCTAACTGCAAAGAACCTACAAAAACCCCAATCGATCCACCTACTACTTACAAATAAGCAATAGTCGCCTTAGCAGCTTACATGCCACCTCGCTTGGAGGCTACTTGCAAAGGAAGTCGGTGCTCTGGGGGCCAGCTCTGTCCTCTACACATCCAAAACATGCAATACATTGGAGGCTGAGCCGTGCTATATCGTAGTTAGATATCAGTCATGGCGGTCCGCTGCTGTCACCCATGGCGCAGCGACATATGACGTTGACTCGCAAAAGTAAAGTCGTTGGTTCGAATCTTGTAGGGTTCGGCGGGTGCGCGCTGCTAACGAGTCCCAATAGGACGAAACGGCCGTCTAGCGCTTATCTGGAAGTGTGGGGCTGTCTGTCTTTGTCTAACTGCGACGAATCTATAAGAAAATCTCATTTTCGTCCTCTCCTCCTCCCATAATGGTACCGTAGTCTTAACAGTGTAATACGCAAGCAAATGGATTTCCTTGTCTCTCGTTTTCCTAAAATCGAGGATGAAGGTTGATGAGCTTGGTCAGTGGAATAAAAGTCTACTTTGTTGCTGCGGGGCCACGTATGGTTGGAGGCATCTGGTTCCATAGGACAGCCACAGGACGTCTGTGTCTACAGAGGGACCATGGGTGGCTTTCGTTGCACCATCCACAGCTCCATCCACACACCCCATGTCGAGTTTAAACTCGAAGGATTAAGACGGGGAGACAAGTGGATGGGAGCCATGTTGAACCAACCGAATTGGCCCACACTCCTTCCTGGGCAAACACAAGCATAGTGGATCTATGGAATTAAGTGCACTCCAGGCGGTGGCAGGGCCGTAGTTCGATCCACATTCGATGATAGCACTCTTCGAGCCTAACACGACCCCTTCCCCTTCAGCAAAGACCAGTTGTATCCTGGAGCCAATATAGCAGAAGTGATGGCTACAAGACAGATAGGCAACGTGTCGACATTCATATCAAGAGCAGCCACACCGGGGATGTCAAGCATCAGTCAATCACTTAAAATGAGAATAGCAAATGAAAATGTTCGATTGAAGCATCAAGGCGAGACGACGTAACTCTTCAATATTTTAACACCTGAAATAGATGGGTTACAAAGAAATCTGCGATAAGTAAAAGATGTCAGAAAGACACTCATATCACAAACTCAAATAATTTAACGAAAATAACCAACGTAATCTTAAGCGACGTATGCAAGTTAATAGCAGATTATTCGATTGGACATTAAAAGGACGTAAAGCGCACTAAAACAAGGTAGCAAACCAACCAACTGAAATAAAGAGATTCAGCATGCAAGCACGGGTTTGGTAAATCCAATGGAAGCGCATGAAGTGTACCTATCAAGGCTGAGCCTGTACTGCTTACGTTCTCAGCAGCTCCTCTCTCTCTCTTACTTCAAAAAGGCGAAGGCAGTTTATTTTCTTGAGTTGGAGAGGAAAGTGGATGCTCACATTCATTAATCACATATATAGATTGTTCAATGATGACTGGAGAAGCTCTAGAGTCATTGGTGGACGCAACTAAAGAAATGGCGCAGGAACGACAAACCCGAACAAAATGACCGGTCTCGTCGCAATTCCGGGAGGTTGCACTCTTTGCATGACATGATTTATCATTTGCACGATGTTCAGCATTTCCACAACGGTAACACTTATTTCTAGCTGTGGATCACGTCGGAGAACGTGTAGAATCCAAATAGTCAGTTTCAGTAGTTGTTGTGTTAGAGAGAAAAATTTTGTTTTGTTCAGTGACTGTGAATTTTGTGCGAGTTACATTACAGGCCCAGTCCCATGTGAGCTTATCTTCGTTCTCCATTAAGCGACTTTATGTGATCGGTGAATCCGAGTGGTCAGGAATCAATAGTTGTTTTAACATAGTTTCTTCCACGTTTTCTCTGGGAGTACTATCGTAGCCACACTTTCGAACAGAACAAAACAAAGTGAGAAATGCTGACATCCGCTCATTTACCAGAAGCTTGTTTCGGTCGTGAAACATTGTATCGAGAAATATAGGTGTTTACTCGAACACGCCAATCTTTATCGAGGGCCGATAGGGTCCTTGTCAACGTGGGTTTCTCCCGCAGGTTTGGAGTGTCAAACATTCGTTGACCCTCTGAGTCGAGGTGTAAGCGCAAAAGCTTTAAATTATACTTCGTTCTTGGCGTCACAGATGAACTGAGAACCGGTAACAGAAATATTAACATAAAAATAATTTTCTAGTCCTCCCAGGATTCTACATTTGGGGTAACCGCAGAGTCCGTCCCGAACAGTGCAGGATCAGTAGCATGCAAATACATCGGTAAGACGCGACGCCAATATGTTGGATCCCGAAAAGGCAGCAGACCAGAGCAGCACCGGAACGTATGTATGGAAAAACAGTTCGCATGTACGTGTTACAATTATCTGGATAGACGTTCGAATTGCGATCAATCAAATGCAAGGTCACATGAGTGGCCAACCAGTGCTAAATAGAAGGGTAAGACAATCGAGTGGAGGACAAAAACAGAGCAAAGTATTTGAACACAACAACTGTGTAAATTATTGGCAAAATATAATATCAGTTTGTACCCAGACAACTTGGAAAGCATGCCTATTCGAATGATGTCTACGTGTGTTTAAGTCACCCAGACGAATCGCATTTCACGCGCTTCCAGTTTTCCACTTCGAAGAGCGTTCGCTACGTCTCGACGGACGACTACACCTTCCTCTTAGCTAGAACCATTTTGAGGTGCTTTTAACTAGCGTGATTGCAGGTTTTGACAATAAAAGTCTATCTAGTGCATATATTCGTCCTTTTCCGACTTTGCCTTGAGGCGGGACAAACCTGCGTTTATAGCGATCCAAGGAATCTGCGCTAAATCTACTCTACGAAATGGTTTCAAAAAATTGGTGGAGTAAAAATCATTAGAACTAGCATGTGGTTCAAGTGAATAAAACGATAAAGTAAACTATACAAATGTTATAGGTCCGCAGTAGATAGTGCAAAAAGACGATGTTACAAGAGGCAACCGCAACGGCCAATTTGTAAGCCTCACAAGGAAGCCGATAGTTCAATGAAGCGGGCTCATGGTATAGACGTCCCAGTTGGTCGCAATTGTCTTAATCAGCACTGACGTATAATTTCACTCGGTTTTCAAGAGCAGGATAGCCTGGACGATTCGAATTGGAAAGGCTTGGGAACTTAGCCGACAAACGTGGACTCGTAACTGAAAAGCTAGACCGCACGCGCAATCGCCGCATAAATACAGCTGGACGTATAGAAGACTATCCAATAGTAAGAGTGCATTTCACGGACTCAACCAAGGCCTCCGTACTTTCCACCATATTTATAGTTCACTAACAAAATAGCAGATGTACAAACCATAAGGAAAGGAGTAAATTTTTTAGCACATGAGTTGTCCTGCAGTTGCCCTATCTCCGGGTAGAGATGGGGTGGGGCCGATGCTGTTATGACGTTGGACACATCACAGTTGTTGAGCGCGCTCGGTAAATAGGGTATTAGTATGAACACAGTACAGGAGGTAGACAGTTGGCTTGAGGAGAGCCCGGTAGATACATAGGTGACAGTGGGGAGAGTTCAGTGTGAACTCTGTGAGATAAATTGGTCGCGTTATCACTGAGGACAACTCATTTGTGATTTGCGCCGATAACTGGATCATTTGCGGCAGCTTTCATGGAAAGAGCTCCGCTCTAAACTGTGTAGTCTAGGTCACTGAACAGAGACCGTGTATATGAGGGGCGATAGCATGCTGGTGCCAATGAACTACAGAGGAGTTTGGCAGGGATGTGACAGCGATGCAACAGTAACCAAGGCGACTCCCGTAATAACGGTAACACAAAAGTCATATTCGTTCATGGTGTTCCCTAGGCCCAGGATTCTCCTGCTCATGAAACGCAAACATATGACCCGCAACGATGGTGTAAAATCCGCAAAGTGTTCTATTGCTAAATCATTGATAAGCATTCCTTTTTCACCCAACTACAAGGGCTGTGATCCAAGATTTATGGAAGTGATGTTATACTCCTGTGATGCTGTCACATTGCTCCTTACTCATTCTCATCGCTATTGATTTGTCGTGAATCCTATGCTCAAGTAACTGTCATTGGACGTATGCGTGCTTGCTACTGATTGGTTTGTATGAATGCCTTAAGATGCATAACCGTTGTTACGTGTTGATAGTGCCCCTCCCTTTACTGTACTGAGTCCCTTTTCCGT